ATTTGAGAGAGAGAGAGAGACAGAGACAGAGTGAGAGAGCATGAGAAGGGAGGTCAGAGGGAGAAGCAGACTCCCCATGGAGCTGGGAGCCTGATATGGGACTCGATCCCAGGACTCTGGGATCATGACCTGAGCTGAAGGCAGGCACTTAACCAACTGAGCCACCCAGGCACCCCAACATTCACTTTAGATATCCTTTCCCTCACAGGTACCTATAGAGACACCAAAAGTGGTCCTAGATATGAGCCTGCAGTTTCTGATCTCTTAGTGTCATTCCCAAAAGAGAAAGTAACTTAAGTATCTGTGAAAAAAAAAAAAAAAGAAGAAAAGCATATCTCACTAAAGAGGTTCCTTCATTTATTTTCAATTCATAAAATATGTTCAAAGTTTGCCAAAGCAAGCTAACCCCACCCAACCTCAAAAGACAGTATAAGCAGTGGTTCCCTATTATGTTAATCTTAAGAATCCTATTGTTAGTTTCATATGCTATTATGCTTATTTTTTTATGGTATTTTAAGAATAAGAGCACCACCACCAGATCCAGTAACTGCAAATATGGAAGTGCTGAAATTGCTAGCAAGAAGAGATGATGAAGAGATAGAGGAAGACAGAAAGTGGTGAAACAACCTTATACAAAATACATATAATATAAACATGAATTATTTATTTTTGTTTTCTGTAGTAATCCAAACCATAAGTGGCCTCTAGAACTAGATTCTTAACTCAGGTATATCAAATATCAAATTGCTAAAGGAAACCTTAACACATCCGTTTATATTTTAAAAGCCTCATATTGGTGAACATTGTTTACTTGATTTATATTTTAGAATTCAATAAATAAGACTGATAAAACTAATGTGACTTAGCTTAGAAGAGTTATTACTGTAAAATATTAATTATCCAGATCTCCTGTTCACTTTCTAGACAGAACCCTTATTACTGACAGCTAGTTATATTAAAAAAAAAAAAAAAAAGTCAGGCTTTGGAACCAGAAAGACATGGGTTTGAACTCTGGTGCATAACACCTTGAAAACAAACCTTCTGCACCTATTTTTACATCTCTAACATGGGAATTCATTGGGGTGCCTGGGTGGCTCAGTCGTTAAGCATCTGCCTTCAGCTCAGGCCATGATCCCAGGGTCCTGGGACAGAGTCCCACATCAGGTTCCCTGCTCAGCAGAAAGCCTGCATCTCCCTCTCCCACTCCCCCTACTTGTGTTCCCTCTCTCCCTGTGTCTCTCTGTCAAATAAGTAAAATCTTTAAAATAAAATAAAATGGGAATTTATTAATACCTACCTTGAAGGACTATCATAATTAGTGAAATATGTGTAAAGCAGCTGACACATACTAGGAATTGAAGAAACTTTAGCTGCTATTACTATTTTATTACTCATATATACAACCAAGAGAAAACAGAAGAACAAACATGAGAGGGAAATACAGTCTAGGCTACATCTAACTCCTAAAACAAAACAAAACAAAATCAAACAAATAAACTCTGATAATTCAAGTAAAAACTTTGTAAAAAGTAAAAGTAAAGTATTTTGTAAGAAAGTAAAAGTAACTTTGGGCTAAACTTCCATTTTAGTCATATAAGATAATGTTGTATGTAAAATCCAAAATCTATATAAATATGTAAAATCCAAAATCAGCTACAGGTCCACTTATTTTGAAGCTAAATAAAAATGAAAGATAATTATCACACAGTAAAACATAATTTTATGTACAGATGAGATGATTATCACCACTGGGGGAAAAAATGCCAAAACAAAGATTTTAAAAAGCTTATGAAAGGATAGTAAAAGAGTCCTACCTTTAAACCGACTGCTATAAGATCTGTAACAACACTGTATGGAAAAAGTAAAAAGAGAAAATGGAAAACAAAGTTAGAGAACAAGTTTTTCAAGGACAGAGATAATAAGATTAAAGAAAAAAAGGAAAAGCATTATAATAATAAAAATTAATAAAAATAAGAATGTGATGAATTGTGAAATGTTAATACAAAGGAAAGTGATGGGACAGTCTAGCAACAGCAGAGTATAAAGCAAAGCTTTAACCACAATGTAAGAAACAAAAAGTAAATCAAATTCTTTTAGCATTTATTAAAATACACCCGTTTCAATAAAATGACTAACATGTGTTTATCTATTTACCTCTATTTAACAAATCCAAATCAAAACTTAAAATTGCCAAAGTTCATTCTTTTAAATCACTGGTCTGAATTACCGTGTTTTAAAATTTTAAATAAAACTAGTTGAGTGGCTTTTACAGAAATGGAAGGTATCTAGCAAATTTCCATGTACCACCCAAAACAGCTCACCAAAATACAACTAAGATAGTCTCTCAGAACTAAAATAAATGCAAATATTAAATTTCAGACATGAAAATTTTCAAGATCTGCTTTTTTATTTTTTTCAAGATTTGCTTTTTAAAAAAAAACTCTACCACATCAAAACTGTGTTTAAGTATAAATTATCTCAGGAGGAAATGAAACGTACACACACACACACACACACACACACACACACACGACAGTTGGGATTTGAGGAAGAACTAGAAAGATATATTGACTGGTGGTTTGATATTTCTTTTTGAACTATCCAAAATAATGAAAAAGGACCTTTTCAGGCTGTGGGAAAATGCAGAAAGTTAATTAGCCTCCTGAAAGCAAACAGTCACTGGGTTCAAAACCTCATCCCTTAACCCCAAGGTGTAAAAACTCCTATAAAGTTCTCCAAACAGAAATCCATCTTTTCTCACACTAAAACAATCTTCAATTACAGTTTGCCTTCATATCTCCTAAAAGAAAGCTCTAACTAAATTCTATATATTGTTAATATCCTATAATGCCATTACTTAATAAAAGTAAAAAAAAAAATTATGAATCTGGATTGTTCAATGATGCAAATTTGTTTTAAACAATAACCACTGGGGCGCCTGGGTGGCTCAGTGGGTTAGAGCCTCTGCCTACGGCTCAGGTCATGATCCCAGGGTCCTGGGATAGAGCCCCGCATCGGGCTCTCTGCTCAGCGGGGAGCCTGCTTCCTCCTCTCTCTCTGCCTGTCTCTCTACCTACTTGTGATCTCTATCTGTCAAATGAATAAATAAAAAAATCTTAAAAAAAAAATAAAAAATAAATAACCATGTAAAAAAAATAAAATAAACAATAACCATGTCGATTTTTAATTTTTTCTTATAGACTCTGGAAACTTGCAATTCATTTGTCTGAAATTTAAATGTGACAAATAACAGTGCATAGAAAATAAGATTGTATAGGTCCTGAACTTAACTTCCAGAATGTCTTACTGCCCCACATATACAAACCAAAAAACTCATTACTAGCTTTAAAGCCACATATAGGGTGAAGAGTTATTAAACTATCCAAAAGAGTTAAGTTTGCACTTCTCAGTTACCCAAGAGTTTAATAGCCAAGATGTAAGTGGAGTCTTTTGTCATCACTATCACACTATCAATTTTCCAATACAAAAAAGCTAGCCTGCTTCCACGGCTCAAGTCAAACTGTCTAACGACAACGCACTACACACAGTGAGACACTAATTTCACAATCTTTCTGAACAGAAATGTTGGCATAATCACACAAATTAAAGCAGCAAAACTTTGCACACATATAAAGTGTAACTAAATCAGGTGATGTGAAATGAGTTCTCAACAATGTCCTCAGAAAAGTTTCAATTAAACAATGAATACAGCTTCAATTAAATTAAAAGAAAATATAGAACATCACAACCATCAATGAAATCTAAAACCGCACTCTAAAATCTGCAGCAGTGTGCAATTAGCATTCAAATGAGTTAATCCAAATATCATACAGACTTAATGTTATGAAAGTAGATAAAAGAAGTCTAACGAAGGCAAAAATTGTTGGAAGATTCCATTGTCTTTACACAGCATGGCAACAGTCATCAACTCTATGGTAACATGTATAAGGCTTTTGCTGTTTACGCAAGTTCCACATATTCTACAACCAGGGGGGTTACAGATATGTTGTCCTCAAAAGCAAGTAAAAGGCCAAACCAAAACTCAAATATATAATGAGAATGAATAGTGGATTTGCAAGCTCTAACAGAGCGGGAGATATTTTTTAAATCTTGATATGCATATGCTACAATTAATACACGAAGATCCTAATCTAGTCGTTTCTTTGAATATTAAATTATCTATCAGGTCCCACGCCATATCCCTGGGTTCTCAGCGAAATTTTTCTATCCGTGAATCCAAAATATTTTTATTTTGGCCACGGACCTCATTCCCTTTTAGAGCGTCTGAACGCTCCCGAAAATTGCAGAAATTCACGAAGTTTCTTTTGGGGGGATGTGGGGGCTGGAGTCCACGATCACCAGGTCCAGACGCCCGGTATACAGAGGTCTTAGCACAGCTCACAGCCCAGGTCCGGAGACCTCGGCGGGTTCCCCTGCACGTCGACATCCCGCGGGGGGCCCTGGCTTCGGGACCAGGTCGCCGCCCAGACGTGCCCCGACGCGTGCACTCGCCGTCTGCCTCTCCGCGGCCACTCGCCTCCCCACCAGGGGAAGCTCCAACGCTCGCCCCACCTCACCGGTAAACAGCAACTCCCCAAGCGGGAGGACGCCCGCCCCGAGCGCCGCCTCCGCCTCCCCCAGCGCAGCGCACCATTTTCTGAGAGGAAGTGTCGGCAGGCCGGGCCGGGCTTCCCGGACTCTGCACGCGGAGGGCGGACCCCGGCACCCGGCGGCTGCACCCGGCTTTCCTCCGCTTCCGGGTGTGAGGATGTGAAGGGGCGGACATTACGGGGGCGCCCCAGCCGGGGGAGAAGAGGGGGCGGAGGACCGCCCCTCCGCGATTCGGGGCGCCCGGAAGCCCCGCCGTCGGACTCGGCCGGGTCGCTCCCCCGGCCGCCGGCGCCGCGCCCGGCTCCCCGGCCGTGGCGCGTCCGGCAGAGAGCCGAAAGGAAGCGGGGCAACAGCAGCCCCGCACAACCGCTGCGCCTTCGAGTACTTACCCATCCATGGCCCAGACGGACGAGCGCACGGTGCGGGGACTGACGGGCTCACCGCGAGCGGAGGGCGGAGGCGGCGGCAGCCGAGCGGCTCCGCGGACGAGCAAGCGGCGCCTCTCCGGAGCCCCGCCGGCTAGGAGGTGGAGGAGAGTGGGAAACAGGGGCGGAGACCAGGGACGCTCCCGCCACCGCCGCGCCCCCGCCTTCCCCACCCCGCAAGCGCGTCCCCGCCTCGCCTCGCCCCGCCCCCTAGGGTCGACGCCCTCCCTCCGCCCCGCCCCCAGCCGGCCTCCCGCTCGGCTCCAGGGCGCCCTCTTCCTGCCGTCGCCCTAAGACTCCGCCTCCCGGCCTCTCTCCCCAGCGCGCGCGCGCCCTTCGCCCCCGCTTCCCTCCTGCGTTCACGGGAGCGCGCTCCTTGTGCTTCCCGCTTTGTCGCCCCGCCCGCCCACTCGCGCGCCCCGCCCGCCCACCCGCGCGCCCCGCCGGCCTTCCGGCCGCCTTGCTTCGGGCTGCTGGGCTCGGACACCTCGGTCTCCCCGTGGGAAGAGCGTTGGAGACCCGGCTGTGGAATGTAGGTAGGAGTGTCTCTCCAGGACCCGAGAACCGCGGTGGATTGGTGGGCGAGGCCGGCGGTGGCTGGACCCCAAGCACGAAGCCCCGGGCCCTGCAACTCAGGGAAGCCCCGGCTCGGGATCCGGGCTGCCACGAACTCCCGCCAGTACGAGGCCCGCGGGTCGTCCGCCAGATCCTAGGAGCCGACTGCTGGGACTCGCTCCCGCCGGATAGGTGTGGTTGAGATTTAAATGAATGAAAGAGACCGCCCGAACTTGAGAACCTCTCAGTTGTGAACAGTTTTAGTCTCTGAGTGCTTTTCGACCCTACAGTCTGGGTTTGAATTTATATGAAACATTCGTTGCACAATACGGAATGGTCACTATGTTGCCAGCATTTTATACAGTTTTTCATATTCCTCCATGTAAAGAAACAAATCCTATGAAGGAGTGATTATTCCCTTTTTTTCAAGTGAAAAAGACACTAATAGAGTGATTACAGTGATTCACTAATACAGTGATTACAGTTTCACAGCCACTAGAGCCCCTTCTCCTCTGAGCAAAATTATGTATGTATAATTAGTGGTAACTCGCTTGTTTGCCCTTTTGTATTCTGTCTAGTTCTGAAATTCAGTGATTTTTCAATTCACAGATCATCAAAACTTAAGTCACTAAACGCTGTCCTCGACCAAATACCTGAATGGGAAGAGAGGACTGCTCCCCCTCAGCCACCTCATTTGCGAAGCGAGTAACAAGACGTTTCAATCATCATCTATCCTTGCTAGTGTATCCTGCTTTTAAATAAGTAGGCGCTACTAAAACTACTTAAACTGTCTATTCATTCATCATTAAGTCATTATTTATTGTTTACTATGTGCCAAGCACTGCAGGGATAACCCAAAAACTCACGTTCCAGCATTCATGGTTGAATGGATTCCTCGATGGCTCTATTATTTCTTGGCAAAAAAACAATTTTCAGATAGCTCATTTCTTGGGGACCCTATTTTTAAAGAACTGTATCTAACTTCAGTCCGTCTTTTACAAAAGATGAAATATATTTTATATGTTAAGTCTAAGTATTAAGTTGCAGTTGTAAACATTGCCACCCCACATTGCCAGATGGATGTTAAAAATATGGGCAAGTCCTTGATGCAATCTTTATATTGTTTTGAGGATATAGTCTGTTGATGAAATTTCCTTAATTTTTTTTTTAAGCTACAGGAGTAACAAACATATATGCTCATTTTGGAAAATTGAAATAGTATTAAATATTAAACACTTAGGATTATATTTCTTCACAACCTACCCCCTACCCATGATAACCAATGCATCAATTCTGTGAGTGTGTTTCTAGACCCCCACCATTTTTATTTGCTCTTTTTACTTAAAAACTCTAGAGATTTCTTTCATATCTGTACTTTTCATCTATTTAATTCGGCTTTTTTTTGCATTTCTTTTCTTTTCTCTTTGTAAATATATTTTTTTTCTTTTCAATTTTTTATTTAAATTCTAGTTAATATACAGTGCAATATTGGTTTCAGGAGTAAAATTCAGTGGTTCATTACTTACAATGCCCAGTGCTCATCATAACAAGTGCCCTCTTTAATATCCATCCCCCATCTGGCCCATCCCCCACCCACATCCATTCATCAACCCTCAGTTTGCTTGCCCTGGTTAAGAGTATCTTGTGGTTTTTTTTTCCCTCCATCCTTTTTCCCCTTCCATATGTTCTTCTGTTTGTTTCTTAAATTCCACATATGAGTGAAATCATGGTATTTGTCTTTCTCTATCTGACTTGTTTTGCTTAGCATAATACACACTAGCTCCATCCATTGCAACTTAATTCATTTTAATACTGCATAGTATATCATAATTTCACACACCACAATTTAACCTTTTTCAAAATAGTGGAAATTTACATTGTTTCTAATTATTCAAACTAACAATATTGCAAAGAACATCATATATGTATGAGCATCTTTGCACACGTTATTTCTGAGGAATTCATTCCTAGAAGCAGAATTGCAGAACAAAGGGCATACTCATTTTCAAGTTTAATTAATATTGTCAATATGATTCCAAAAAGGTTGTACCAGTTTACATTTTCCTTCTTTATTTATTTTTTTTTAAGATTTTTTTTTTTATTTATTTGACAGACAGCTCACAAGTAGGCAGAGAGGCAGGCAGAGAGAGAGAGGAGGAGGAGGAGGCAGGCTCCCTGCCGAGCAGAGAGCCCGATGAGGAACTCGATCCCAGGACCCTGAGATCATGACCTGAGCCGAGGGCAGAGGATTTAACCACTGAGCCACCCAGGCGCCCCTACATTTTCTTTATTTAAAAAACAAAAAGTTGGGGTGCCTGGGTGGCTCAGTGGGTTAAAGCCTCTGCCTTCAGCTCAGGTCATGATCTCAGGGTCCTGGGATCAAGCCCCGCATTGGGCTCTCTGCTCAGCAGGGAGGCTGCTTCCTCCTCTCTCTCAATCTCTCTCTCTGCCTGCCTCTCTGCCTACTTGTGATCTCTATCAAATAAATAAATAAAATCTTAAGAATAAATAAATAGGGGCACCTGGGTGGCTCAGTGGGTTAAAGCCTCTGCCTTCGGCTCAGGTCATGATCCCAGGGTCCTGGGATCAAGCCCCACATCGGGCTCTCTGCTCCACGGGGAGCCTGCTTCCTCCTCTCTCTGTCTGCCTCTCTGCCTACTACTTGTGATCTCTCTCTGTCAAATAAATAAATAAAATCTTTAAAAAAAAAAAAAGAATAAATAAATAAATAATAAAAAACAAAAAGTTTTCTTTCTCATAGTCCCATGCCTTAATTTCAGTAGTAAAATATAAATGTGAAGTCAACCTGAAACTCACTGTCCATATTACTAACAATAACTCTGGAAAGTCTCCAGTGTAAAGATAGTGTACCTGATTAAATGAAAAAAACTGTATGACATTTCCTAAATACTTAACATCCCATTTTGCAACAGAAGGCTAAATAGAAGGAAACAGCTCACAACGGAAAGCAAGGTAAAACCCTTCTGTTTCCATTGCCTCTTGGTCATAAGTTCAGAAGACTTTTCACTGATTTGGCTCCCTAGGTTTGTGAGTCCCTCTGATTCAAAACAGTGGACAGAATGGGAATTAGGTCTTCTAGGACCACTTTTAGAATCCTAGCTATTCCCATAGTCCATATGGCATGGGAAAACCATGGCCTTCGATAATCTTAGCAAAAGTTTCTGAGTTTGCAGAATGATGGGATATCATCCACATGACCTAGCTTGTCATGAGAACTTTATGTTCTATATAGTAGCTCTTTGCTGGTGGAGAGAATAACATGTTCTCAATTTGTTAGATGCTCCATTCTTTTGAAAAGTAAGCAGTTACAATAACTCAATTTATAAATTTTCTAAGATTTTACTTCTTTGTGTTTTTGTTCTGATTTGTTTAAGAAATTCCCCTGAAATACCTTCACTGAGAAGAGACACACACACACACACACACACATACTATTATTGTCTGGACAAAATGTAACCTTGGAACATTTTGCTGTAAGGCATTCCAGTATGCAATGATAGTTAATATTTAACTAATATTACCCTATTGATGTTAACAGGTAAGGCTTCCTAAGACATACAATGCAAAGATGCCAGTATAGGTTAGAAATAAGATCAGCCATTAGGTGAATCTGGAAGGTGGACATTTTAATAAAGACAAATGACAAAATTATAATATGATAAAGACAAAAATTTTAATCATTAACATGTACTCTTTAAAATTGAAACATCTGAAATTGTACTGAGGGGGAAAATGCTAAACTTAAAATGTTACATATTGTATGATCCCATTCATGTATAATATCCTCAAAATGAAAAAAATATAGAGATGGAGAACAGATTAGGAACAGGGTGAGAGGGTATAGGAAGACAAGAGGAGGGATGTGATTATAATGGAGTAGCAAGGGGATGTTTGTGGTGATATGATAGTTTTATTATCTTGATTATAGGACTAGTTATACAAGTCTACACCTGATAAAATTGCACAGAATTTTAGATACACACAAGTGCATATAACACTGGCAAAATCTGGGGGCGCCTGGGTGGCTCAGTGGGTTAAAGCCTCTGCCTTCTGCTCAGGTCATATCTCAGGGTCCTGAGATCAAGCCCTGCATCAGGCTCTCTGCTCAGCAGGGAGCCTTCTTCCCTTCCTCTCTCTCTGCCTGCTCTCTGCCTACTTGTGATCTCTGTCTGTCAAATAAATAAATAAAATCTTAAAAAAAATGGCAAATCTGAATAAGATTTGTGGATGTTACTGATGTCAATTTCCTGGTTTTGTTATACGGGGCACCTGGGTGGCTCAGTGGGTTAAAGCCTCTGCCTTCGGCTCAGGTCATGATCCCAGGATCCTGGGATGGAGTCCCACATCGGCCTCTCTGCTCAGCAGGGAGCCTGCTTCCTCCTCTCTCTCTGCCTGCCTCTCTGCCTACTTGTGATCTCTGTCAAATAAATAAATAAAATCTTTAAAAAAAATGTTTTTCCTGGTTTTGTTATAGATAAGATGTTAACATTGTAAGGAAAGCAGGTAAGAGTACACAGGACCTCTTTGTA